CGGCGGGGGGGGGGTCCGCCCCTCCCCATCAGCAGCGCCCCAGCCCCTTGCGGGGTGAGGATGCTGGTGGCTGCGCCTGCCTGTGCCACTTCTCAGCCAGCCGTGCCCGGGGTGTCTGCCCTCTTGCTGCCCCAAGGCTGCTTTTTAATGATTACGCAAGTTTGCAGAGCAGGAGGGAGGCAGGGGGAGGCACGGACCCCACCACGAGAGCCCTGCCTCTCGGGTGAGCGCCATGGGTGCCAAACCTGTGCCGTTTCACCCCCGTGCATTGCTGAGGGTGCCTGTTACGTCTGGGGGGGGCAGAGCTTTGCACACACCGTGTACCCCCAGGAGGCTTCCCCAGCTGGGATCCGACCCTCTATGTTTTAAGTATTATGCAAGCTGCCTGCTTGGAGTGTACTTAAACCCATGGGGCATGCCTGGCATTTTAAAAAGGATTTTTAACATTTTCCTGCCATCTAAACTACCCTGGCTATTGACCAGCACTGTAAAATCTTCATTCTCTGCCGTCTCCTGCCATCTGCATGCCAAAGGGGGGTAGCGGAGGAGCTGTGGTTGGAGCTGATAAGGGGACAGCTGAGCACCGGCATGGCATGGATCCATGCTGGTGGGTCACGGCAACTGGAGTCAGGGTGGCAATGGAGGGTCTGTGTGTGCCCCAGTGGGGACACGGGAGCTGCCCGGCTGGGCGGAGGTCACCGCTTTCCCAGCCCCCTGCGAGCAGGCGGACATCTGGTCCTCATCCCCGGCCCGGGGCTGGGCTCCCCGCCGGGCATGAGAAGCGATGCTGGAGGAGCCTGCCAGCCCCGCTCCCTGCTCCCGTTCCCACTCCTGCCAGCTCTGCGGGAGGGGATCGGCCAGCCCCTCGCCCATCCGGCGCAGGCTGTCAGAGCGCCCCAAATTCCTTTGTGTTTGACCTAGAGTGTAGACAACCCGAATGCAACCTGCATGGTTGAACGAGCTGCTGCTGGCTCCTCCGGTGGCTGGTGTGTCCTGTCCCCCCTCTCCCAGTTCACTTCCAACCTGGATTTTCTTCCTTTCAGCCTCTGGCACGGGAAGCTGGTGGCCATCTCCAGGACAGCCAGGCGACTTTGTGGCCACCAGTCCTGACTCAACACATGGATGTGTGCGGGCTCCCAGCACGCTGATGTGTGCAGTGGCCCCTTGTCCCAGCCTGAGCTCCCTGAGCCTTGGGGCTTGCTTCCCAGTCTCTGCCTTTCTCCTGGCTCTGCCCCAGCTCCTCTGCCAGATCCTGCTGGATCCCATGCTTGGGTTTCCAGTGGAGTCTTGTCCAGTCCCTGTGACCGCCCTGCTGTCTCCCATTAACACATCCAAGGTCATAATGTTGCGCCGAGCTTGTCTTCACCCCTGGTCCCTGTGTCCCTTCCTGAGCCAGAGCATCCCTCTGCAAATGTACCCTTGTTCCTGCACGGCTCGTATATCTTGCCATACTAAAAAGTGCCATTTTGGTAGCCAGCGCATTGCTGTCTGACCTTTCCAATAGCCTCCGGGCCCTGTTTTTGTCCCAGCTGCAGACCTTTTTATTGCTACCTTAATGCTTTCACTTGGGTTATGGAGGAAAAGCCCAACCAGCCCCTGCAGCCCCCGGGAGATGACCAGGACAGTAATTGGGGTTTTTTACCCATGTTGTGAGTCCCTGCCAGCCTGCTTATCTTGCTCAGTCCCGAGTCAAACGTCTTGTAGGTTCTCCAGCGTGGTTACCTGGGGAGCTTATTAAATAAGCTATCAAATGAGTTGGACAAGACCTGTGTTTACCTGCATGCTGTTGATTGGCGTTAATTAGATTATCCTCCTTTAAATCTCTCTTCTCTGGGAGGTTTCAGCCATGCCGTTACAGTGCATCGGACTCGGAGCGGATCGATAATCCTGAGCGCCCATGGCCGTTGCATTTACCCGGTCAGAGATCAAGGAGGAACCCAAAATATCCACAGGCTTCCAAAGGCAACAAGCACTGGGGCTCCTCGGTAGCTCTGTGAACGCCAGCGGCTCACGCCAGGGTCTCTAGATCAGGCAGTGTCTGCATCTGTGACTCTGACTTTGATTTTCCCATGGGATGTGAGCCTGTGGCAGGCTCCTGGTGCTGAGGTCTGGGGGGGGCCGGAGGTGGCTGGGGACATGTAGGTGATGTGACTGTCCTATGCGCTGCGCTCTCCTCTCCAAACTCCTCTGCCTGGAGCCCCCAGTGCGGGATGAGCTGCAGTCTGGGCTCTGCGGGAGGTGGGTGAACGCTTTGTGGTGAACGCACAGCTGGGACAGCATCCCGGGGTCCTGGTCCTGGTGCCGTCACCCTCAGCCACCAGCACACCCGCCCAGTGTCCCCATCCCATGGCACGCCCAGCTTTGGGACATGGCATACTTTACTGAGCAGGAAAGGGGAGACAACCAGCCCGGGTTATTTTCTGGATTTTTTTGGTTTGTTTTTTTTCCAAGCAGAGTTTGGCTGATTAAAAGGCCTGTCTGGGAAAAGCAGACGCTCCCTCGGGACGATTCCCCATGGCAGTGAGTCTCCCCCATCCCAGCTGGAGGCACCCCTTGGGGTCCCGCAGCCCAGCCGCCCCCTCCCCTCACGCGGGGCCGCTTGGGGCAGGGGCTGTTTATTGACACAGCGCCGAGCTCCCTTCCTCTCCCAGAGGAAACTGCTCCCGGAGGCGATGGCCCCAACCTCACTGTTTGGGCAGATGTCCCCCCCGGGACCGTGCTGTCTGGGAACTGGCGTCCGCTGGGCGTCCCTCCCCCTGCTGGGTGCAGGGCAGGGAAACCCTGGCTGGAGGGGTTCTGGAAGGAGGTGAAATTGGAGCACGGTGGTGGCGGGACAGCCTGGTTGCAGCCCCTTCTTGGCCCTTGTCACCGCTGGGTGGGCTGCAAGTGGGTCTGTCCCCTCCTCCCCGGGTGATCCCTGCATCCCTGATGGGAGGCAGCTGCTTTTCCCAGCACCGGTAGCCAGGCTGCCTCGGCTCCCCCGCAGCAAAGTCGCAGCACATATGCGACAGTATTCATATGGGCCCAATTAAAGGCTTGTTTTCCTAGTCCCGGAATAACCCCTTTAACATTCCCAACTCATTATTTTTTCAAATAAAGCCAAAACCTTGCAGCTAATTGTTTTGCGCTGTCAGGAGTGGTGCTGTTATGGAGCAATCCAGTCTTTGAGCTGGTCCTTCATCTCTGGCAATTAAGCCGTTCTGATGTTCACTTTGGTGTTTTCTTTTTCCCCTTTTTGCTAATTCTTTCAAGCACTTTCAGAGCTGCACCGGCCGCCCCAGGGATTGGTGGCCTCTCTTTGTCTTCATCCTGGCAAAGACGGCAGCGATGCCGGGTCCCGGCACGCGGCTCCCCATGAAGAGACCAGCCTCGACCCTTTCCACCTCCCCATCCCTATGGCACTGCTGCCCTGGGATGCTGCTCAGTGCTGTGGGCCTGGCTCTTCCCCCCTGGCTGCTGGTTAAAGCCTGGCTTTGCAGCGGCTCTTTGCCTGTGCAACCCGCCTGGTGCATCCATGCAATGGGGGGGCGGCTGCACTGGGAGGAGAGGGAATTTGGGGGTGGATGGGGTTTGGGTTGCAGCAAGGTGGGGCTGGTTAAGGGTGGCTGGACGGTGATTTCTGCTTTGCATGAAAATGCTCCTCTTCTAGCTGTGGTGGGGAGATGGGGTCGGTGCCCACGGGGGGAGCAGGGGGTTGCTGGCAGCCATGCAGGATGGGACACCGGGACAATTTCAGCCCTGGTGCAGGCTGTGGTGCCCACTGGGTGGCTGCGGGAGGATGACAGCACGGTGGGTCTGTCCCCAGGCAAAGCCTACGAGATCACCTATGTGAGGCTGAAGTTTCACACCAGTCGCCCCGAGAGTTTTGCCATCTACAAGCGCAGCCGCGCCGAGGGGCCCTGGGTGCCCTTCCAGTACTACAGCGCGTCCTGCGAGAAGACCTACGGGAAGCGGCCACGGCACTACCTGCGGCCCGGGGAGGATGAACAAGTGGCCTTCTGCACCGACGAATTCAGCGACATCTCCCCACTGAGCGGGGGCAACGTGGCCTTCTCCACCCTCGAGGGACGTCCCAGCGCCTACAATTTTGACGGGAGCCCCGCGCTGCAGGTGCCACCAGGGTGGGAGGGGGGTGGGTGCGTGGTCCCCCAGGACCGGGTGAACCAATGCAGCCACCTGGGGTTAAAAGCGCTTGTGGTGTCCTGCACCCCTGTAGGAAAAGGTGTAGGATGCATCCCAGTCAGGGTGGGGAGCGGGTGTCCCAGACACCTTGGCCAAGGTGCCTTCCCCGTGTCCCCTGCAGGAATGGGTGACCGTCACCGACCTGCTCATCTCCTTGAACCGCCTCAACACATTCGGGGACGACATCTTCAAGGACCCCAAGGTGCTGCAGTCGTACTACTACGCCATCTCTGACTTCTCCGTCGGCGGCAGGTGAGGGGGAGCTGGGCTGGGGCGAGGGCAAGAACGGGGAGACCTCGGGGCTGTGGGGCTGAGGGACCTGCTCCCCACCTTGCTCTTGTTTGAATTGCGGTTTTGGGGAAAACTGCTCAGATGTGGCTTCCTCCATCTGTGAACCGGAGCTGGCAGTGCAGAGACGGGTGATGAGACCTGGAACCCCTTGAGCTGTACACGAAGGAGAGCTTTCCCCCACAGGCCCTCTCCCACTTGCTGCCAGCTGTATTCGCCTTGCCTCCTCCCAGCCCCAAGGCTTTTAATGGCAATAGGGCTCGTGCTGCTCCTCCTGTGACCCTGCTTGGTCCCTGGGCACAGCAAAAGAGGGGTGCCGGGGTGCCAGCAGAAAGCTGTCCCGAGGCCACGAGGCTGGTGGAGGAGCTTGGAGTTGGCATGGCCATGGCCCAAGGCGC